ATCCGCCCGCCTCAGCCTCCCAGAGTGCTAGGATTACAGGCATGAGCCACCGCGCCCAGCCTGATTTTTCTTTTTAGTATTTCATAGTAAAACTGTTCATTTGGCTTTATAGAATGCTACACACTCTTGCAAGGAATCATTATCTATAACTCTGTATAGTCTCTTTTTCTAAAAATACCAAAACAAATAATTTTTTAAAGTTCATGCTCAAATATATTAAAGCAGTTTCCTCTCATATTCTAAAACTATGTCGTACTGATGAATATCTTACAGAAGTGGCTGTATGTGGGAGGCTAGCAGTGTTATTAGATATCAAAGATAGCAGGAGCTCAGCTAGCCAGGGTATTGGGCAGTATATTATAGCTCACGTTAAAGGGGGAAATGCTTCTTTCCTGAGCTAAGGCAGGCAAGGAGGTTTCTTCTTTGAAGTTTACATTGGTCACCTCCGTGGCATCTGATGTTAAATGGAGTCTTCCTTCCAGTCCAGTTTGAAGGATCTGAGCGACCTGCCAAGGAGGAGACGGTGAGGCAGCACCACCGGCAGAAGAGCTGGACTCAGAAGATCTTGAAGCCAGCCCTCTCGGACCACAGTGAGGGGGAGAAAGTGGACCCAGGCCTGCCTCTGGAGAAGCAGCCGTGAGTCTCCCCTGCAGACCCTTGTAACCAACAGTGCCTGGGAGCTTACTGACAGCCTTGTAGTGGGGGCACATTGGCCCACTTTACATGATTATTTTTGTTCGTGAATGTTTGTCTGGGTAGAGCTTATTAATGAGAACCCATCTTCAAAGCCCAGTGCATTTGTGCGGAATGGAAAGTACACTGCATCTTGACAACCTTGTTTTAAATCTCATTCTCTTGTATAGAGTGAAAACTACTAGCCTGTTAACTCCTGTATGATTGATAGGCTTTGTGATCCAGGATCATCCAAATCTGCATGTTGTCTGTTCCAAATGGGAAGCAGGATCTAGTTCAGGCTGTTGAGCTTCTACCGGAAGTTCATTTCAAATAATGCTTTATGGGAGGATGCATGTTGACACTCATGGTGCCTTTCCTCCTCCACCCCCCATTTTTCAGCTGGTATCATGGTGCCATTACCCGTGCTGAGGCTGAGAGTCGACTACAGCCCTGCAAAGAAGCTGGGTATCTGGTTCGAAATAGCGAGTCAGGGAACAGTAGGTACTCCATTGCACTAAAGTAAGTATTGAAGCCTCGTGGGCTTGCCTTGTCTCCAGGGAGAGGGGACACTGTGACATGGGTAGATGACCAGTCAGAAAAGATACAGTGTGAAGGTGGTTCACGGGGGTGTGTATTGCCAGAAAAGAAGATGCATTTGCTTGGACAGTGGAACATGAGATGCTCTGATTAGAATTACAAAATTGGTATTGGGTAAATGTCTCAGTATTTATTAAGATAATGAAGGGCTTATTTCATTATCCTTGTACATTAGTCCATTTCTACCATACATCACCTGATCTGGAATAGGCCTCTCAGTAGAGAAATAATCCCTGATAAAAAAAAATAGTTCCAGTCATTCTTCTTTTATTCTTTAGTACTCAGGACTTTAATAAATCAGATCTCCTGATTGTCAAAATGCCAATTGCAATTTTGATACCAGTTTCTTCTGGTGAAGAAGGAAATGCTGACTTGCCTCTTACTCCCCCCGTTTGATTATACACAGAAAATGCACGTTTGCCTGGTAGGCCTGGTGGAGTGTGTATCATGGAAATTCTCGTTGCTCTGTGAGTTCGGTGGCGCTATATTGGAGGATCATTGTCAAGAGCCCTAACAGCATTTCCTTCCTGAGGAAGCTGAGCCCCTGCAGCTGAAACAATCAGACTGGAGGGGAACTGGGATGGGGGGGGAGGTGTTGGAGCAATATGGCTCAGAAAATGGGATAGGCCACCAGATATACAATACCAGGAATAGCTCTACTGTGTTCCTGAAATTGGCGCTTGTGGATTAAATCTTTGAGCCTTCAGTGCCAGCTGTCAGTATATACAACCAGGAATGGTCTTTTCAGATGAGGGGGGCAGGAAACAGTTTTGATGATGATGATGATTATGATTCATCTGTTCTTTCTGGAAAAAAGGAGGAAGAAGCCTTATATATGTACTTTCAGCTGTGGTAAGGAGGGTGAGTTTACCCCCCATCTTAGCCTCGTGCTTGGACTTAAGCACTCATTTGGCAGTTTGTGGGCAAGAAGGGACTTGGCTTTTTGTTTTATTGTTTTCTTTGGTGCAGTACCTGTTGACTTATGTGTAATAAGGGTAAACAACTCAAGGACGACATGCATTTAAGCTGTGAAATTTCCGAGAGCTACAGGAGAGTGTCAAATGCATTTCTGTTTGTATAAAACAATTCTGGGAATGGATGAGAACCCATCAACTTATTGTGAATCTTGCTGGAATTGTTTTCAGTGGGGAGGAATCCTCTGCTCACACGTTCATGTCTCCTTCTTGACTTTTCTGTTGTTCCAGGACTAGTCAAGGATGTGTCCACATCATAGTGGCTCAGACCAAAGACAACAAATACACACTGAATCAGACAAGCGCTGTGTTTGACAGCATCCCCGAAGTGGTACACTACTATTCCAATGAAAAGTTGCCTTTCAAAGGGGCAGAACACATGACCTTACTCTACCCCGTGCATAACAAGCTCCACTAAGGTTCAGCCATTGAAAACCCTGGGCCTCTGGCACCTACGAGGGCATCAACACCCAACCAGCATCTCAGCGGACAAGGCCGGACTGCTCCTTAGTAACTAGCAGAAAGTGAGAGTCTTCGTTTTTAAAGTCCAAGAGTCTTTGATCTTGAATTCATTCCATGGCACTTGGTTTCTGATCTATCCCTTGTTTCCATGTTAAGTAGCTCTACAATAAGAAATTGTAATTTGCCTGTTGTCTCCACCTCTGGGGTAGGATGTTCTATTTAGGGGATGACTCTCAGGAAAGGTAAGTCAAGAGTTCAGGGGCATTAAAGTGCTCCAGAAATGTGCTGGTTGGTACCTGGAATATCTAGTCTCTAAACAAACCAATGAAAAAACCACTTTGCTTTTATGTGTGATTGTGTGGACCAGAAGAGTGTGTAATGTCGGACTCCTTATTTTGGGAAAATAGATGAACAGTGGAAAATACGAATGATGGGCAAGAAAGTTGTCTTTCTCCCTCGAGTGTCCTAATTCAGCTCTGGAGTTCATGAAAATTCACAACTTTAGAGTCTGCCGTAAGAATTATTTATTGGTCAGCCTTTCTAAGAAAGTTGGTGTTTTCTCAATCTCTTTTTCATCATTTTTCAGCAAATCAGTGATATAAGCATAAATAGGATGGAAGATGCCCCAGATTTAAGAATAACTGATATAATTAAGCATTGGCATCATTATAATTCTGAGTTAAAATATACAGCAAAGATTTCATTTCTAATTTTTTAAATTCTAAAAATTCACAAAGCTCAACAACTGTTTTCTTGTTGGATAATTATATAGAACTTCCGACATCTTTCGTTTCATCTTTGTGCATTTTAGTTGGTATGGAATCATTTTTAATATTTGTCTCTAAAATTAGGTTTGCTTTGTATTTTTAGTAAATCTTAAAACAAACACACATGCGCGCACACACACACACACGTCTGGGATCTGGTTGTATGAACTGAGTCTCTAACGCCTGCAAAGATTCTCTCATTCTGTACTGAGCAGACTGGCTTACGCTGTACAAAAGATTTTGAGGTTTTCTCTAACTGCTATCAAGGTATTAAATTAATATTCATAGTATTATTATCTTTATGATTTATCATGAACTTATATCACCAATTTACTTACTGTGAAAAAAAATAGGAATGGCATACTGTGAGAAGAATACTATGGTGAGCGGCTCTATAATTAAAACTGAACAGATGTTTCTGTATTCTAGGGTTTGTAATTTGGTTCTCAGAACTGGTCCAGATGCAAATGCGCTGACTGTTATCAATGAAAAGTTAACTTTTGTAGCTCCTTTTAAATACACCAAAAAATGTTGATTTGGTTAATTTTTAGGAAAGCATATCTTTCTAATTATTAGTTATCATTTGACTACTATAATTTAGAAGTTAGTAAATTTTTGCTTCTTTATTCAGTTAAGATATCAGCCAAAGGGTTTTGTGATCTTTGATTTAAACAATTTAAGAGGAGCTTCTTCTCACTGGAGTTCAATGATTGCTATTAATGAAGAATGTTTTGTTTTTTAAGTACTGATAAAATTTTTAAATGTCTATTGGTTCATGTATTTTATCTGTAGTACAAGATTTGTTAAAATTTTTCAGCACCCATAGTTCCAATTCCATTCAACAAATATTTATTATCTATGTTCTGTATACAAATTATTCATCGTGTTAAACTTATTTTTATTTCAACATTCTAGAAATGAAACCTTATTTTTTACTTAACCTTAATCTACAAAGGAAATACAGCAGTTATTCTAATTTTAATAAATGCTAAAAGCTTTATGAAATTTTTCTTTGTGCACTAAATAATTTGGGGCTCATACCCAGCAACCGTTGTGATGCGTGTATAGTGAAATGGTATTTTGAAAGCAGGCCTGACACAGTATTTGTTGAGCTTCTATCGTATGTCCAGTACTGTGCTTTCTTCTATACTGTTTTTCTGTGACAGTCATGCTATTTTCTTTATAGAACTAAAAGCAGAGGAGATGCGGATTTATGTATAGTCCATTCCTTTATAATCATACAGAAGGTTATAAGAAGAAGAAATACAGTAAATTAGTAGAAGAGGGGGTTAGCTACTGTTTTCTTCTTAAGGTTGTGAAACAAGCTGATAAAAGGCAGGGAATTCACAGCTGGGTGGTGGCACAAAGTACCATATGTTCTAAAAACAATTAGACCCAGCAGGGTGTCCCTAATGGCTTCCTTGTTAAGCCTCCTGGGCCAGCTGATCCGAAGCTCTATGACATGTTCTCTGGGCTCTGAATGCTTGGGCTTTTTGTCATTTTGTCTCGCTGCAAGTATTTTCCTATACTCTTCAGTCCTTTGAGTTAATTCTGTCTCCCCATGTATTTTCTGGAGAGATTAATGTCTTTTAGTGAATTCGCCTTGAATTTAGCGTATCTACAGAGCTGTGTCTATGTTCTTTCTCCTTTATCACTCCTGTCTTAAAAAATACTCTGCTTCGGGTTACTGGGTGAGTTTATTCAGTTGCTTAGTTTCAGGCGTATAAGAACAGAGGGTAAAGGACATTTCTATTTACTTTGATACCATAGCTATTTCTATCAGGATGGATTTCAACCACTGGAGTTGTATGTATTTAAACTAGGCATAAAAATAATGGAGAAATGTTAATATGTATACAAAAAGGTAAATATGGATATGCCTACACTCTCTTGGAGGCAGAAGTGTCTTTTTAAGTTATTCAGAGCACTTTCTTAAGCATTTATATGAAGAGCCCTTATTCTTTGCTATTTAAAGGCTCTGTGCATTGTTGAGTTGGTGTTCATGCATTGACCTGCACCACAGGATGGGGGACGTGTCAACAGAAAAGAACCCAAACTCTGTAAAATAATTTAAAAAGAGGTTTATTCTGAGCAAAATGTATGGGACCATGGCCCAGAGAGCCACACCTAAGAAGCCTTGTGCAAGTGGTCTCATCATGGTTGGGTTAAAGTTTGGTTTTATACATTTCAGGGAGACAGGAATTACATGTAAAGTCATAAATCGATACATGGAAGGCATACATTGGTTTGGCCTGAAAGGCAGGACATCTCGAAGCCGGGGATTACAGGTTATTTAGGTGGGTTTAAAGATTCTTTGGTTTTTAATTGGTTAAAGAAATGAAGCTTCGTTTAAAGGCTTAGAATGTTTTTTTTTTTTTTTT